TGTCAATCTCGATTATCGATCATATCTTTTATTCTGCTATTAAGTCAATATGAGTTGAAAACTCCTTTTCGACTTATGTGTATACCTTTGCCAATGATTTTGCTATTGACTTAATTGAACGAAATGCAGATCACAGTCTCTTTCTATCTAAGAGTTACGAGTCCTCTATTGGTCATTCACAACCTTCATATGGTTCTTGACATATCCGAACAATGTCGTATTAGCGGCTCTTAGTAGAGAAACATCCAACACCGTCAAAGCATGACCGTCCTCATACAAGGCACTATGATGACCTCAAGTCAAAAGACCAATTTCACTACTGAACGTTAGAGATTAACCACTGACACTCAGATAGTTATCCATGTGAAATCTCTTAGCGAGTCTCCAATGTTTTGTTCTATAACAAAACATCCACGTGTTCATTTAAGTGTCACCACACTTTAACTTGTGAGATCAGCTAATTACTTCACAAGTAGAAAATGCCACACGTGATGGTCTATCTGTAATAATGATATCCGTATCTCGTTATTACTTATGACCACGGGTTATTCAAGATCCAATCATACGTAATTTGTATCTCACAATCACAACTCCGTGTGATTAACAAATCACTTAAACTTGAATTTTCGGACTCTATTATTTAATATTATTTATCAGAAAATTAATTTAAATAAATAATTTATCTTATCAAAATTAAATACATTAAACATATAAAAAGTATTTACAACCTAAATCGATTGGATCTAGGGCATAACACTTACACCTTTTACACTCCCAATCCTCGAAACTACATTTTTCTCTCTCTAAATTTTCCTATAACTTCTGAAACTTGTTGATTTCATTTAAGCAACGGCTCCATTGCCGTCTGTTTTTGACTCCTCAATTCCCATCTTCTCACGTCTCTCTGAGTCTCTGACAGTCTACGTTTATACCAAAATACACAGTGTTTCAAGAATTCGCTACCCATTTGATTACACGAGGTATGCCACTCCCTCATTCTTCTTCTGTTTTCTCCATTTTTTCCTGTATTTTATTTGTGGGTAGGGGTGGGGGAATGGGACAGACTCCAAGAGTTTGATTGAAAAATCTTGGCTTTTTTGTGATTCAAAATGGGCTTAATTTTTATTTCAACTTTCATGAATGAAATCACAAAACTTCAGCTAAAAAATAGGATTTTTTTTTTTTTTGCCTAGAAAAAGTGCATGAATATTGCTTCAAAGGTGACATGGCTCATCTACAAAAATATGTCTGTATTGGAGAATTTGAATTTCTTTGAATTCTTGTTTCGTATACATTAGTAGATATGACTTTGGAGTAATATTCAATGCCACCTCCTGAACGAGCCATAAATGTGAAGAAGTCTTGGGGATGCAAATTTGAGTTGAAATTAGATGCTTTTTAATTACTTGAATATGGCTCAGAACATGAAAATGTTCTGTTTTTAATGGTCAAAACTCAATAAAAATTGCTTCCATATAGTATCATGTGAGGTTTGGCCATGTGGGGAACTCTATTTATTGAGTCATATTTACTTCACACTGCCCAAGAAGTAATATTCATGTCACTTGACTATTGAAATTATAGATTGAATGTGAAGCCAGTGTTGAAGAGTATTTTGAGTTTTGCTATCCTATTATCAGAAACCATCGAAGAAGTAATTTTATATAAATGAATTTGTCCTTCCTGTAACGACTTAAGCTTTTAGATGATGGTATCAGAGCAAGACCAAACATATGTTTTGTGATGAAAATGGTATCAGATAAAGGTCTTAAGTTTAAGTATTGTTGTCACTTATTTATGAAGTTTGCTTGGCAAAGCTTTTTTATGCTTATTTGCTCGTGTCCCAAAGAATGTGCACTTTAAAAGTAGATAAAAGTTGTGGATTCTAAAACATGTCTGCTTAAGAATGATGCCTGACCAACTTATAAGCTTGAAAAATCTTTGCCAAACATGCTCAAAAACTGTTCACATGTTGCGGGTTTTCAATTGATCTTATTGAGTCATTGATCATTAAGTTTGGTGGGACCTTTTATTCGTTACTTATTGGACCTGCAAATCAAATGCTGTGGCCCCATCAATTCAAAATTTTTTGTCCATTCTTTCTTAGTGCTTTTGTAGATGGCAACAAGAGGGAAAAGTCTGGTTATGTAAGAATGTATCACATAAAAGTGATAGTGATTCATCAATTCAATACCACTCAGTAATGGAGGCCCCATGAAATTTCAGTGGCCCTTAAAATGTAAATGATTGACAGGAATGGTTGACCTTACTACAATACAATTATTTATAAGTTTCATTTATTTCAGACAATGAAATAACTGAATAGAGACAAAGAAGTCATTGTTCTCTGAAAATTCGTCATAATATAGTTGTGTTTTTCATATGGATCAACATCTGTTATAGGATTCTCTTTTCTATACCATCTGTTTCACATTCTTTTGTTTTTTTTTTTTTTTTTTTTTTTTTGGTTTTTTTTTTTTTTTTTTTTTTTTTGGATATGTTTTGATTCAAGCAGTTGCCTTGCAATCTTTTAATTGGACCTTCTATCATTTTTTTTTTTTAATTCATCCTCGATAACTTTCATGTCTTGTAATTAAAAATGAAAGACCTGGTCCAAGGTCCTACTTAAAAAATAAAGATTTTCTTTTTCTTTTTCTTTTTGTAATCTTCTAATTATTTTAAATTTGTTATGGATTGCATTTTTCATTTTCATGTTTTTAGGTGCAATATGAAGATTTCTGATTGATTCCATGATAAGGTGTATTAGGTGAATCTTTATGTTTAATTTAGATGTGGTTTATTTAGCAGCTGGTGTTTTGAGTATGGCATGTGTTGAACCTATTTGTTATCACACGTCGGATCAACATTTAAATAAATAAATATGAAATCCCTCTTCACGTGCTGGCCAGATTCATTATTGAGATGTTGTCTAATGACAACTTCACCGGAGTGTTCCTGTACTTGATTATTAGTATACGTCTTCTTTCATTTATTCAAATCTTCTAACTTGTATAATAAAAACTAAATTAAAACTGAAACTTGCAGGAATAGTGACATATAATGGCCTTGAGAGCTGTATTCTCAACAGTCACTCTTTCAATAATGCTAGTAGCACTAGCAGTGGAGATGGACATATCACCGATTCCTTGGATGAAGATGACTGAAGCTGCTCGTCCAGCAATACTGTTTTTGGGTCATTCTCTTCTCTCTGGACGATCAGGAAAAAGGACGATCGTGGCACAGACGAATGGGACTTCTCTGCAAGCCCACAACAATGTAAAAATGAAAAACTGAGTCAGAATTCAGATGTTGAAACAATGAAAGAGAAGTTTGCGAAGCTATTTGATGCGGACATCCATTTACTATTTATTTTCTTCCATTTACTATTTATTTTCTATTTGAACTATTAGTTATATTCTATTTGGATTATTATTTATATTTCTGTTATTGGGTTTGTTTAGCGGGTTTGGCCCAAACCCTTCTCTTTAGGGTTTTTGTTTATTATTTATTTCTGTTTTGTTGCGTATTTGAGACAGTTGATGAATTAATTGAATAAAGTTGGTTGCAGCCTCTGTGTTTTCTCCCCCCAATTTCCCCCTCTTCTCCTCTCCCCTCCTCTTCCCTTTCTCCTTCTTATTTCTTATTATTCATCCTACATCAAAGTTGATGTGGACATTCATTTACTATTTATTTTCTTCCATTTACTATTTATTTTCTATTTGGACTATTAATTATATTCTATTTAGATTATTATTTATATTTCTATTATTGGGCTTGTTTAGTGGGTTTGGCACAAGCCCTTCTCTTTAGAGTTTTTGTTTTGTTATTTATTTCTATTTTGTTGCGTATTTGAGACAGTTGATAAATTAATTGAATGAAGTTGGTTGCAGCCTCTGTGTTTTCTCCCCCCGGTTTCCCCCTCTTCTCCTCTCCCCTCCCCTTTCTCCTCCTTATTTCTTGTTATTCATCCTACATCAAAGTGGTATCAGAGCCAAAATTTGGATAATTTTTCATTCACAATCCAAAACTTTCTTCCTATCCTCTTCCCAAAAACTTGTGGAACAGCACAAACAAACAAAATTGTTATGAGGCAGCAGTTTTCTTGTTCAATTTTCTTTCTAGTTGATTAGGCAAAAAAAAAAAGTCACTGTTCACGGATACTGTTCACACCCGAAATTTCAGTTTTTTTTTTTTTTTAGATTTTTCTACTGTTCAAAAAAATATCGTACTGTTCACGGGTACTGTTCACACCTGAAATTTCTTTTTCTTTTTTTATTTATCGTTTTCTGCAATTCCAAAAAAAAAAAACGTCTTTTCTATTATTTACAGATACATCTTTTATTCTGGTTCATCTGGCTTGACTACTTCGACGAACGAAAGGGAAGTTCTTGCTTTTATTTATTGTTGGTTTATATTACTGTTTCATTTTGAAATTGCATCAATTAAATTTTTGTGTTGCTGCTGATCTATTTTTATCTAAACTCACGTAATTGGATCCATTGACCTCGTTAAATCTCACTTTAACCTGCTTATTTTACGTGATTAGTATTTGACCATTGCTTTATTATTTTACATATACCAGCAGTACTAGCTTGTTGTATATAATTTTAGTCCCAAAATTTAAATTTAAAAAAAATAGCTCAAATTTTCATTTTCCATTACTTGCACTTTTTGTTCGTTGATCTCTCTATTACATGTCATTAAGTTGCTATTACATTGCATGTAGTTACATATTGGTCATCTTGTCACTTCTAGCTCTAGTACCTTAAAC